ATAAATTATAGTATTTCATGGTATACGAGTACTTGTTGCAACAACAGCACAGCAGAAATAAATCAATCTGCTTTTTCGTTTAATTTGTTTTAGAGATTTAGAAAATAATTAGGCTCCTTTAGCATGACCTCTCAGGACTATAAAAATAATAAAATGCTAAATAATGCTGAAAGTCTTATTTCAGAGTTGGATATACATTAGAACAGATGTGTGCAACAGACAGAAGTTGTTAGGAGGAGCTTGTTCTATCCATTTCCTGTCATCTTGCCTTGACCCCAAACACCAGTCACTAGAATGTTCTGGGCTGTCTGATGAACTGATTACTGTTTGTTTAAACTTAGGTCTGGGTGAATGGAAGTGGAAGTGTCTGCCTTGATTCTAATGATTTCTTCTGACAGCAAAGGGAATCTTTTGCTAACCTAAAGTAGTTTTACCAGCCAATTCTAGCCTTTACCCTAAAGGTGGCAGATCAGAAAATGTTCATATGGGGGAAAAGAAATATCGTTTACATTTTGGAAGACACTGACAAATGTGCTAAATCCTGCCAATGGGGACCCCAGATTAGAGAATAATCCTATAGTGTGATTTGGAAAGACAGATGATTAAGTTGTTTTAAAAGACAGCAGGGCCTCCTTAGAGAGACTCCTTTTAAACCTTTTTATAAAGATGCATAAACACACTGGTTTGGAGTACATCTAACCCTCGCAGTGGTGTATCAAATCTGCCATCTGAAAAGTGTGTAGTGTGTGTGTATTTTTCGTATTGAAGGTGCACTTGGTTCAGTCTGTAAAAACAAATTTCCTCCATCAAGGACAATAAAGAATGAATCTAAATCTGAATCTGAAAACGTATTCACAAAGCTTAGTGTGATTAAACACCTTATAGCAGTGGACAGCAATAGGCGGCCCGCGGGCCAGAACCGGCCCACCAGCAATAATATCTGGCCCGTGGTCAGACTGCTTTGATAGCAGAAAAATTTTAAAATTTTAAAATTTATAGTGTCTGGTGCTGAAATAGATCTCTGTCATGACAGCAACAGTTACTCACATAATCTCTTCCCCTTAAGTGATTTTGCCTACAAAATAAAAGCGCGAGAAAGTTTTTAAAGCAATGCTTCATTTCGAGTTTATTGAGAGCTTTTACTTTGAAAAGTTCTGAAGGACATTCCAAAGAGTCTCTGGCTTGCTTGACACACCTTCAGTGTGTAGTGTGTACTCCGTCAGTAAACGTATGATTGGATTCCCCTGAATTTCCTCAGGGATTAGATCTTAGTGCTGCATTTGATACCATTGACCATCAGATCCTATTACAGAGACTGGAACATTTCATTGGCATTAAAGGAACCGCTCTAAGCTGGTTTAAGTCCTATTTATCAGATTGATTTCAGTTTGTACATGTTAACGATGAGTCCTCCATGCACACCAAAGTTAGTCATGGAATTCCTCAAGGGTCTGTCCTCGGACCAATCCTCTTCATTTTATATATGCTTCCCTTAGGCAATATTATCAGGAAATATTCCATAAACTTTCATTGTTATGCAGATGATACTCAGTTATATCTATCGATCAAGCCAGGGTTCAGGAGGCAGACACCATCTCCACATTTAAGAGTAGGTTTAAGACTTTCCTCTTTGGTAAAGCTTATAGTTAGGGCTGGCTCAGGTGAGTCCTGAACCATCCTTTAGTTATGCTAGTATAGGCCTAGACTGCTGGGGGATTTCCTATGATGCACTGAGCTCCTCTCTCCTCTACTTTCTCTCCCTCTGTATGCAACCTCATCCCATTATTGCATGTTACTAACACAACTTCTCCCCTTTCCGGTAGTCTTGTGCTTTCTCGTCCCTCTCCTCTCTCCTCCTATCACTTCCTGCAGGTGTTTCTGGCTCTGGAGCTGTAGAGTCTGGATCTGTGGTTGCGAGTCACCTGCTGCCCCCGTGTTCCTGCTCGACACCCTCTGCTATAATTATTGTTACTAGTCCTATTGTTATTATAATCATTAACGATTATTATCATTAACACTACTATACATATCTCTAAATTTTTCATTTAGTCTATAGCAACATCGCCTTTACTGTCCGCTGTGTGTATATTATGCAGGCTGCCTCCCTTCCCTCTCTCTCCTTCCATCCCTCTCTTTTTCTCTCTCTCTCTCTCTCCTTCAACCCCAACCGGTCAAGGCAGATGGCCGCCCACCCTGAGCCATGGTTCTGCTCGAGGTTTCTGCCTCTTAAAAGGAAGTTTTTCCTTGCCTCTGTCGCCTAGTGCTGCTCTTGGTGGGAACTGTTGGACTTCTGTAAATAACATCAAAGAGTACCTGCTCTTTTATGAAAAGCGCTGTGAGAAGCGCTGTGAGATAATTGTTGTTGTGATTTGGCGCTATATAAATAAAATTTAAATTGAAATGAAAATAAGCATCCATAGGTTTATGAATGCGGATCAAACGCTGGGACGTGCACACACTGCAGCACATGCTTTATGTGAGCATGTGTCCTTATAATCAATTTGTTTAACAAGGGATTCAAAAAATATCCGCTGTATGTTGGGATTAATCATACAACCCTACTGACTGAGCTAAACGAACACAGGGGTTTAAGGATTTGAATAATTTGACTATGTTGAATAATTTGACTACGCTATGTAACGACTTGAAATAAAATTTGCCCCATGCTAGACTTATTTGCCGACCCCTGCCTTTTAGGTTACAGTTAATCCATTTAGTCCCATTTTCTTCACTTTATCTGCCTCTGAAAATCTCTCATTAGATCCAAATATGGTTGTATCACACCTATTTTTTTCAGGATTAGTAGTTATTCACATCAGAATCATAAGCAGCAACCAACACACACGCAACTCATTTCACCAGCAGTGAGATCTCTCTGTGGGACACAACCAACCATAAGCCACGCATGCAAAGAGCAGTTAAAACTAGGGATGTCACGAGAACCGACATGTCACAAGAACCGATTACTTGGGTACCAAGTCAATGCCAAAATGCTGAAAATATGATGGTACTCGATTTAGGGATCCAACACTTTGGAGCACTTTGGAGACATGCGCAGCTGCAGCTATACCTCCGCTGTCATGTTTGGAAACCAGGGTGAAGGTAGTTTAATGTTTATCATTTGTCTTTTATTTGCGGCTGTTACCTTCAATAGCTCTGTGTCAAAGCTTTGATTTTTTCCAGTTTTGTAATATTTTAAAGAGCTAATTTAGGCAGACATTTTACAGTTTTGAGGACCTCAAAATTACCAAAGATGACAATGCAGTTTGCAGCGCAAAGAACTGAATGTCTGTCCAATGCACCTGTTGCTATAGGCAGAGTCAGGGAATTCTACTGTATTAGTGTTATTAAAATAAAAGTTTATATCAAGTTTTATGTCTGTCAGGACATATTTTGTGAAATTATGATTATGACCAAATGAAACCTTCCTTTAAGGGTCACTGTAACTGATACACAATAATAAGAATTGGTAATACCGTTATTCCAAAACACCCTGTGGTGTTCAGGGCTGCTGGCAAGAACAACAGTGGAGTTTATGTCAGGTTGATATCATTTACATTCTTGAAGGGCTTTTTTACTAGTCTAGACCAAGCAGGAACCTGCCAGTCTGAAAAGTGAAGCCAATGCGAAAGTGCCTTAGACCTGCATTCTTTCTAGTGGCCAGCAGGAGGTCTCTCTACTGGCTACAAAAAGAAGTGTGTTTGTATAGAAGTCTACGAGGAAATGAGCCTACTTCTCAGCTGATTTATTACCCCAACACTTTCATAACGAGTTTATGGTCGCAGTCGATAGTCGAAGTCTTCTTCAACACAACGTGATGTTCGTTTAGTGGTGGTCCTATTTAGAGGAAAACAGACAAAGCAGGGTATGCTTTAGGGTGTGGCTATCCTGATTGACAAGTCGCTACCATGGTGACCTGTCAATCAGGATAAAGGCGGCTCATATCCGCTGCTCTGTGTACGTTTGACCAGCAACGTTGAAAAAGCTTATTAGGAGTCAGCTGTTAACTTTTTCTGGTAAGTACGTTTTGTTTTCAGTCTGTTTTTAGCTTGCCAAAATTAGCATCCCAGTTAAACTCAGTTAACGTGAATTACAGATGCACCTTGCTAACCAAGCTAGCTAGCACCACCCTCTCCTCCAAATTTGGTCATGTCTGATTTAAAAAAAAAAACAAGATAGCGACGGCCAAATTGCCAAACTCCAGGCTTCAAAATGGAAGTCCACAAGCCAACAGGTGACGTCACAGTGACTAACGTCCACTTCTTTTATACAGTCTATGATGGAGACCTTGTAATATATTTACCAGCGAGTCATGACTAGCTGAACAAACTATATCTGGAATACACATTGTGATATTTTACGATGGCTGCAATAATTCTCAAGGTCTTGATGGATAAACCAAATGTCCAGTCCCACTCCCACAATTAATGCAGTGCACCAGGTGTTCAGCTCCTTTCAAATGTCATATAATGCGCTGTGTGTCTTTTACTTGCTGCCTGTAGGTCTCATCACTGCACTTCAGCAATAGTGCATTTCCACAGAGTCACAACAGGTCAAACACAGCTGCTGCTCGTTAAATTAATTACTGGGAAGTTTGATGTAGGTGTTCCAATAAACAGCACAGATAATACCAGTACTGAGAAACAACAAAACCTGCTCATTATTTTAACAAGCTGCAGCTGTGTTCACACTGCTAACACACACCTGTGGCTTCTACAGAGACAGAGTGACCAAAATGAAAAGAGGAAAAAACTTCATAGGTTCAATAGTTTGTGCAATGTATTTGTTTGTTAGGTATACCTTTTTATTCTATAGCTCACCGAGGTCAACACACTGGTCTTTATCAGTATTAACAGTAACCTAATTAGTGCCTGAAACTAGGGCTGGGCGACAAATCGGAAAAAACAAAAAAACAAGTTGTTTTTCCTTGTTTTTTTTTTCAAAATTGAAAAATATTGATTTTGATATTTAATGTGTCCGATTTGTGTAGCTTTGTGTGCTACTTAAATGTAATTAAGACGAACTTGAACATCAACATAGGTGGGTTTTTAGTCAGGCCTCAGATGTTGCCTGAGAATCCTCCAGTTTTTAAGATTTCTTCAGTATCAAATTTATTTACTGATTGTTGTCAGGACATCCAACTGTTATTAATTAAAGTGAGCTGTATATTAATGAATAATACACAGATTAAGAGGTTTGGTTAATTTTCATTCATCCTCTCTTCACTGTTTCGACCTGACCTTTATTTTCTTCATGAGATGCGCTGGACCGTACAGGGCGAAGGACAGGAGGTTGCGGGAGCGACCTGGTGCGCTGCAGAGGGTCGGTGATCATTCCCTCTGGTTGGATGAAGCCTGACACAGACCATAGCTGTTGGAAATAACAGGCGCACGTGTACAGCAGCCAGTTAATTTTAAAACCAGTAGGGATACAACACCGTCATATAAATCATAGATAGAACAAAACTCAGCTGGTTTATTTTGCCGTTTTGGTTTAAAACGAAATAATCACGAACCATACACAGATTGAAAAGCTACTGTACATGGCTAACGTTTATCCTGACAAAGGCTGCTTTTCCTCATCTCCCAGGATTTTTCCCCACAAGTGGCTAGCATTGATCTTTCAGAAGTAAATAACCAACTCAGTCTTTTAAATTTAAATTTCTGTTTATATCTTACTAACAGTAAGAGAAAACCTTTCCTGTGTGTACAAATCCAAATGTGGGATTTCTGACTTTTCTCTAGGAAAAATAAAATCAAGATAGTGAGCTTCATTGAAATTTCCAATCAGGTGCCAGGTCAGTGAAGCTAAAAATACCAAAAACAAAAAGAAAAAATCCAATTAACAAGATAAATACATCAATGTCAGTATGACTGCAACATCGTGGATTAATTTTTTGACCATTTTTTCTAATTAAGAGTTATTATTTAGTCTCTTTAAATTCCCATAAAACCGTGAAAATGTCTTCTTTTGTCCAAAACCAAAGATATTCACTTTACAATGATAGAAAATCACAGAACCAGACATTTATCATCCCAGTGGCCTAATCAGATAATCACACTTTCTTCATTTCTGAAAACATCTAAAGGAAATAACAGCATCAACGCACACGCTCAGTAACCTCCCAGTGTATAAGGCAGCTCCACAGAGACAAACAAATGCAAATGTCCCAGAGGTCCCTCTGGCTTCAGACAAAGTCACAGCAGAATATATTAACTCCTCTAATCCCTTCCTGTAGTGAGAACTATCAGACACAGCATCTGCCATCCTGAGCAGACCTGGGTGCTTCTCTGAGCTGCTGGAAACATTTCACCTCACGCAGTTTTATGTTTAGTTGTATGTGGTTATGGTTTGATTAAACTGTATTCAATACTGTAATCAACAATCATTGTCACCTATGTATGTATCTGTGAAAGCGTTAGAAATGCTTCCCTGTCCAGGATGCTGTGAGTAAGAAGTGTTTCAGGTGGATGTGTCTCTGTTTTCAGGTTTCTCCAATTTCTCTTTGAATTGTATTAATAAAAGTGACCTATTTTAAGAAAATATTTCGAGCCACTATCAGATAAAATAATTCATTATCTGGGACATTTTTTTGGAGTGTGTAGCCCTTGGGAAATAGTCAGCATGACACTGTTAGCAGCTTAACACTTGTTCTCTTTCTCCCATCAAGGCGATCATTCAGCGTTTCCTCAGCTATCAATACGGTGTGCTAATCTGTTCCACTATCACCAGAGCTGCTCGCCATCCAACTGACTGACTGAACAAGAAAATGGAGATGTTAGCTGAGACTGAGGAAGTGTGACTGAGGGAAGGAGAAGGAGGCGAAAGGGGAAGAGACATGCTATGTAAAAAAACAGTGAAACGCAATAAGGAGAAGAGTGTCTGATCAGGTGGATACAACCGGCTGTACAATTCATCATAATCATAATAAAATTTCCATCTGAGGTCATTTCTATAATCAGTTCGAAACGTAAACTGAATCGTAAAGTGAATTGGTTGAGCAGCATTCCTGTCTGGTTGAACAGTGCATGAAAAGAATGTACTTGTTTGCTGTAATCAATGACCCATAGGCACAAGTGTGTTACTTGTAGCAATGTTCAGAGAAACTGGTATTTGCATCAGAAATATTAATGAAGAAAATCAATGCTTAAATTGTTAATTTTCATACGTACACACAAATAAATCTTTGAACATTCCAAGCACTTCTCATGTCCACATGTCAGCCTAGGTCTCAACCGAGCAAGTGTTTTATAGCACGTTCACCTCCCGCTGGGCGTGTTGATAAGCAACCAAAAAAAAAGCGATGTGGCTTAAAAGAGGTGCTCCTGAAGTATAGGCAAGCAATCAATGAATCCCCCCCCAAAGTCCAGGCATACTGAGTTTATTTTAATATATAAAAAAACTGGTCTAATTTCAGTTTTGCGTTGGGTTGGAGTTTCAGTGGCCTGAATGTTGTTTGAGAGCCTGAAGGAAAGATTCAATATACTTTCTATAATTTAAGCCAGAACCTATTAAGCGAAGGCTGATCTGAACATAGGGGGAATAGAGACACTGAGTCATGCAGGAACTTGTGTGTCATAGATCAGGCTGAACAGTGTCTCGCAGGATAAATATGTGTTGACGTACAGTTTGTCATTACGGAAGCAGAGAACATCATATAGTTGAATCATGGTGTCTCAGACAGGTGGACACCTGCGTGGGTTTGAGACGCTGCTGAAGTGTGGGCCTCTGGAGACTCTCTAAAACCACAGTCTGGTCTGAGCCGGACTAAAATAGCAGCTGCAAGGAATTCTGGGTCATTTGTTTTAGTCTGCACAAGAGGCTGACAGTGTGACCTTTAAAGTGTTCAGGACAGATCAAGAATCAGTATAGCTGTCAGTTACTGCGCAGCTGATCTGAAAAATAACTTTCAAATACTTTCATCAAACTGTGTAAAGCAAACCCAATCTGTTTTATATGGAAAACAAATTCAACGGTAGGTCGACGACATGCAGCTTACACTTTAAATGCACCACAGTTGACGAGTGGTGGAAGAAGTGTCAGATCCTTTACTTACTAAGTAAAAGTACCAATACCTTAAAGTCAAAATACTTATAATTATACAAGTAATAATTATTACAAGTTTAACGCTACATCCACACTACTACATGTTTGTTTTGCGGAGATTTAAAACAAAAAACGATCTCCGTCCACACCAGCGTTTTAGCTGTGTATCAGAACTGATCTCCATCTATATTAAAATGACTGAAAATGCACATCTAGTTGCCGTTCACGTACACTGGACATGCACGTGCCAGTGTAAACATGAAGCTAACATTCTATTCTACAGCATTCTATTCTACTATTAGCAAAAAAAAGACAGTATAACTACAGACGAAGAACCACACTACTTTTTTCATGGACCGACAACAAGGTGGAACTGTTACTGAAAGTAACATGGGAGTACAAAGAGACTGTGGCGGCGGAAAACAGATTGGGAGTCATCGCAGAGTAAATACAGCGACATGCACACTACAGGTGTATAAGTGTTATTTGCACAGTACAATTTTTTTAAATAAAAAATAGCAAAACAAAAAATGTCAGTAGCATTGTATTTCTGCTTTGCATGACTAATAAGACCCAATCAGGAAGCCAAATGTGAGCGTCTTTATGATCAAAACAGGGTCGGCAGTATTTTCAAACTTCTCTGTTTTAGGTCTTCGGATTCGCTACTTTAGTCTGGACTGGAGGTGCAAATGTAGCAAAAGTATTTGTATTTGGATGTGGATTTAGCCTAAGTCATGCATTCAAGTAAAATGATTCATTCTGCAGTATAATGTCTGTGCGAGATCTCGTGCCACGCAATTGACATTTTTCACATGTTGTGAAGCCACACATAAATTTTCTCACACAGTGAAAAATAACTGATAACACTGAGTCACAGAGCTAATCAACTCCACCCAGCTGATGCGACACCGGTGTATGCCGTGATATTAATCAAGTGAACCCGCTTGTCAGATTTACCGGGTGAGAAACAGGATTTTGACAGGACACAGATGCAGGGCAGGATTAGATTGACAGAATTTATTGACCAACACAAGGTGCACAACTTACAGTTGCAAAGTCACCAAACATGAGGTGAGCAGTCAAAACCAACAGGGTAATTCCACAAAGCAAGGTATCCAAAAAACTTAAATAGTTCAAAACCCACAGGAAAGAAACAATAACAATCCAAAATTTCAGGTAACCATATTAATCCAAAACCACACTGAACAAGCAAGAAGGCAGTCTGACATTCAGGACACTGATGACTTTTGGCAAAACCCTAACCCCTAACCCCTAACCCTAAATAATGAGCTGTGACTGTTACTGAATGTAACATGGGAGTGTGGCGTCGGAAAACAGACTGGAAGTCGTCACAAAGGAAACGGCGACATGCACAGTACGAGTTTAGGCAGATAAGTGTTATTTGCACGGTACATAATATTATTATAAAAATACGATGTCAAAAACCTGGTCAGCAGCATTGTGTTTCTGCTCCGTTTTAAGTCTTCATTTTAAGTCTTCGTTTTCAGTCTGGACGGGAGGTGCAAATGTAGCAAAAGGTCTCCGTTTTAATTCAAAAAACGCAGTAGTGTGGATGGGGCCTTACTTTCGGCTTCACTTGCAACATGCAGTCCCAAACGGTGTCGGTCAAACAGTCTGCAAGGGATTTAACCAGCTAAGCAATAACATAATGCACTAGCAGACTATAGGGCAAATCATGAACTCTCATTAAATTACGTTGTTGTCGTAATATTACGATTTCCTTCTCCACATGTCAGAGAACACTGATGAGGGAGAGATTCTGAATGTGCAGAAACTTTTGAACATGAGCAGAAAACACAGGAGCTATTAAAGTGCAGGAGTTTATAAATGAATTAAAATTAATTAAATTATCACTAAGGTGAAAAGGTGCCACAATCACATTAAAAGAGGTTACTCCACCAAACAAAAGACTTACTTTTCATTCACGTTGTTTCTCAAACTGCTGAGTCATCGGTATCTCCTGCATGCTCAGTACGTGTTCGTCCTGCATTACTGAGAGCTATCTAGCTTGTTAGCAGTTAGGTAACTACAAGTTAAGTTCCCTGAAAGGCCAGCACTGTCATGATGATTCTAATTGTTCAAATATGTAAATTTAGGGGTCAAAGTAATTTGATTTTAGCCAAAAGACCATTAAATTCAGCTTATGAAGTTAGTGTAACTCACTCCCACTAAAGAGCGCAGGAGGCAGGATTTATGCATGCAGCCTAAAAGCAAGTGCCAACTGTGAGGGACAGTTCCGGGCAAGAACACACCATTTTAACTGTCAGGTGACATAACACCACAAAAGCATCCAGTCAGACTGA